AAAATTTTTTATATTGAGATTCCATTGCCAATCCATTAGTTACCTTTTTCTAACATGTGAAACATTAAAGTTATGTACCATCTTCATTTAGTATTTTCTAATGCTCATCTAAACTGTAGTACAATTCTAGACACACTTCACGGGATAAGCAAAATTATATAAAATTAAAGAAGCAGTGAAGAGTTTTCATAGCCATACTTAAACATTTAGATATTTAGTTTTGTGATGAATAGTTAAGATACGAAACATCATGAATATATTTGGCTACGCTTCTTCAATTTGTTGAGTATAAATAGATAATGAAATGGGGACTGAAAGAAAAAAATTTAGTTCTGTAATTCACGTATCTGCTGCAGCATCAAATCCCTTTGGAATCTAGATCATATTTGCATCATCACTTTTGACTTCCTGGAAAGTCTGAAGCCCCTCCCAAGATTTCTGCAGATTCCCTTATGGTATATAGTCTCAAGATTAACTCAGTCTGCGATCCTGCATTTGTGCATGTTTCCGTATTCTGCATTTTGTCAGGCTGATTGTAAACTTCGTTCTTGCCTCAACTCTGTCAACAAACCAAGTTAAAAATGTGATAAAAATAGACCTGACTAAATCAAGGTGCAGAGTTTACAGTATGGCAACACAAACATTTCAAGTTGTGTGTTACAGCGCTCTGTCCTTCAGCATCCTCTCCCTGGGAAAGTTGCATTGTGCCCTCTTCACCTCACAAAGTGGTCAGCATTACACCGTTGTACAGGCTATTCTTTTACCCCATGTACTTCTCTGCTCCTCCAGTACCAAAATTTAATTTTTTTATTTATGCAAAAGTTTAATCTCAAGTTATTTATCAAGCAAGAATGGCTTTTTCTAAGAGGAAGTCTATGCTAGATAGTTAGAATAAAATTCTAACTTTTGCTTCACTTAGTTATATATTTGTTAATTCAGCAGTCCTACCGATTAAAGTGGCCAGTTTTAAAATGGATTGTGTCAAGAATGTGGATCTAAAATAGTCTCAGGAATCTCTCAAAGAATCAATGTGAAAATTTCAAACAGTATCAGAGGAAAATTATATGTGTTATGATGAAAAAGAATAAAAATTAGAAAAAGTGAATAAAGCTTTGTGGAGTTATCAGAACGACTAAAGAGAAAGTAAGCAGCTTAAAGCTTTGTCTCATCCTTTTTGTGCATCCCTTTTAGGGAAGGTAATCAAATACATGATGCTAATCATGACCCTATGCTCATAAAATTGCCCAGAACTTGAAAGTGACAGTTAGACCTTTAGTAGCATTAGTAAGTTTGAAAGGAAGATCAAAGTAAGTCTCGCCTATGAAAACTTAGCAACAGATATTTTATTGGGGGATTTTTAGATTCCTCCCCACTCTCCCTTCCCAGCCCCTACTTCTATCTCTCCTTGCCCATGGGATTGTATTTCTAAAGGAGAAAGCCATTATCTAAGCTGATCTTCTCATCAGGTTGTGAACAACAAATAAAATTTAGTGAGAATGATTGACCTTAGCTGTGAAAGGAGTCAGTGTCCTTGAGGAGGTGCAGCCACTGTGTGTCCAGCGCCTCCTGGCGATCAGACACTGGCTTTTCAGTGCGGCAAGAAAGAGAGTGTCCAGGAAAGGCAAGGCATCCAGTTTCCAGGTGTATTTTTTTGAGATCGGATCAGTCCCATCAAAAAATTTCCTACTAACAAATCTCTTTTGGAGATGCTTTTCAGAGAAAGAGTTTCCAGAATCTCCACTTTGCATTTTTAACCTAGAATTTTTCTTTTTCATTACTTCCACATGTAATTATCACGTTATTTCTATTAGCATATTTCAGTGACAGGGACAGAACTTGGCTACAAAGGAAGTGAAAATTATGCTTTCAGGTATGCAACAGTGAGAAAATTAATACATTCTACACATATGGAACACTTAATTAAAAATATAAAGTAATATGTGTTGAAATGTCAAGATAAGTAGCCTAAAGTTAGTTATTTATATTCTGGGCAGACAGAAATCAGTGATGATTAGAAAACCTTTTACATTATGCATTTATTTAATCCTATCCCATCTCATTCTAGAAAGAATTCAAGACCAAATGTGTTCCCTACAACAAGGTAAAAAGAAAGTTGTACGGTAATCAGGGCAGCTGGAGAAATACAGGGTAGCATTCAAAAGAGGAAAAGGGGGGTGGTACTTAGGAAGAGGAGAGATGTTTAGAATAGGCTATGTTCAAAGGTAGAGAATACCCCTTCACTGAAACTGTTCAGTGGAGTCCAGGTGATACTCGCTGGGGATTCTTCAAGGAACTGGAGCATGGGCTAGGATTTGAGCCAGATGACTTCCCTTCTGGCCCCAATGCATGAAGGAAGCATTTATTGAGAGATTACTGGGTGTGTCTCACTGTCACTTCTTTTATTGGAGTGCTATAAAATAGCTTTAAGACTGGGTTCCTGCCCTTGCGGGGGTTTATAACTTTTCCCCTAAAAATAAGACCAACATTCATGTAGTACTTAGAGAATGATAGAAAGCAGTCTCCCATTAGATGTTAAGTCGTGAGGTACAGGGTATTAGTTCCTAGGGTATTTAGGAATATTTCATAAAGGAAGAAACTGAAGAATGTTAGGACTTGCGGAGAAGGAGAGGAGAGATCACGTCAATTGGGGAAAATTTCTTTGTGGGCATTTGGACATACTGCTGCTGTATGCTGAGCATGAAGCAGTTTGGGTAAGAGAAGGAAGTCAGCAAGTCTGGTGTGAAGCTCCTTTTGTAGTTGGCCATCCCCTGATAGTTCTCAAAGATGTCTAGCAACTCTGGTCTAGGTCAGGGCGATGCTGAGATCCGAGTGGTTCCGATCTGACTAAGAAGGTGTGACTGGTGCATCATAAGCACAGAGCAGGGCTGATGGGAAGGTCAGCCCAGAGCAAGCTTGCCCCAAGGAGCATCTGCCTGAAGGAGAAAGGAAACAGGAACACAGAATGATGGAGAGGGGCAAATAGACCCCGGTAGAAGGTGGTCACACACAAAGATGGATGTCCACCAGGTATTAGATTTTGGTAGCTGTCTAGGAATGACATGAAAACGAAGGAAGCTGCCCCTGTAGGATGAGTTCTGTTGTTTGAGCAGAGAAAGGGTTGTGGTGGAAGGGTGATACTGAACTACAGCAGGAGCTGACTGGGAGAGTTGGGTAAGCATGTGCCTGGCTCAGGGTCTAAAAAAGAAGAGCATATAAAATAGCATAAATTAACACAGAGTATGAGGCTCCATTGAAAACAGGCCTTACTAGGACAATAAGGAATGGTATCT